CCCTCACAAACTCTCAAGCACACACACACGCACACACACTCTCTCTCACTCATTCACACACACAATTACTCTCACACACACACACTTACTCACTCTCTCACACAAACACATTCAGTCACACACACACACTTACTCTCTCTCTCACACACAGACATACACACACACACATTCAGTCTCTCTCTCTCACACTCACACACACACACACATGCTCAAGTCGATGGGTGAATTATTTCATCCAAGATGTTTATGTATTTTCAGATACATTCTATCTTGTTCAAAAAAATAAAACCAACCTGACTCCAGGTTAAAACACAGACAGATTCTAAACAAGGCCTCACACCTAAAATGCATTGTCTGACCTGAGATTTCACCTCTGTATATGTTGATAAAACTTTTAATTATCTTGGGGAAATGACTTGAAAGAAATCTGGGATTTGTTCTTTAATCAATAGAAATCTGCGTCTCTTTTCTAACTGATTAAAGATTCAACAGCGAGCCATTTTTAGAGTTGTTACATTTCTGCTTATAAACTCTGTGTCAGTATACCTCCTCTTCCACACTATACCTGAGGAAGGAGCAGAGCTTCGAAAGCTGGTGTTTTCAAATAAACCTGTTGGACTATAACCTGGTGTTATGTGATTTTTGACCTTGTCCACTGCAGTCCAACACTGGCACCTCCACATCACTTTAATTCTGGCACAGGCTTTAAGCAGGTTTACCTAAAGGAATTACCTAAAGGAAAATGTGTGGAATTAAACAAATTGTTTTAGACGATCATAGTTTGTTCCTGTAACAATACTAATATAATCAACAGTCAGATAGTCATCTAGAAAAAATATACCTTGTAATGTCTGAAATAAAAGCTAATAGATACTATGTTACACAACTTGTTTAACAAGATCCTATGTCACCATGGTATTTTAGACCACTTGGAGAAATTTAATTCAGGAGGTAAGAGAGGCATCAATATTAAGAAAGCAAACCTTTATTCTATTTTCTTCATGGGTATGAGGCAGTGTTGTACAATTTCCTTAGCAGATACTCATGAACAAGTATCATCAGTATTGTATCAGCATGTACAGTATAAAAAATAGTAAATTAAATGGTATGATTCTAACTTTACCAGGCAAAATTCAATTAAAGTGATGCTTCATTTTGTGTTGACATTTTTATGACTGAAATGGATGCCCACAACAAAATTAAAAAATGCATAATTTTGATTTGTGAGAAAATAAGCTTGAAAAGGTGAAGGATTTCAAAATGGTTGCTGTTTATACCACTGGCAATTAATAACAGTAGCATAAAATCAATTTCAAATATTTGACATAAAAACATGAACAGCAACAAATTGTCCTGCTTAAAACCTATCTATAAGTTTCAGTGTATTATGACCCAGCTTCAATTTCTAGTGTGTGCTGAGTCGGTGAATCTCAGAGCAGTTAAAGATGCCAGTTTGTGAAGAATGCCAGAATGAAATGCCACGATAAGATCTTGGATCTATTGCAAGTATTCATATCTAAACTCAGATGGATGTCTTATATGGAGTCGAGACTGATCACTAAAGATGGTTCTCTGTGGAAGCAAGATATCTTATTCAAAAAAGACCTGGATGTAGCTGTAGTCAACATCACAATTATGGACAATGATATAACACTGAAAACAGTACTTAGATGGAAAGGAGAGTGGAATATAAACATTTAGATAAGGAAATTAAAGACCTGGCCAGAGGTTGTGAAGTGAAACACTTTGGCTTTCACATGGCTGTAAAAGAGCATTCACATGTGACTGCAGCATCAATGCAAAGCAATTTCTCTTCGTCTTATTTCTGAATCAGGCCTTGCCACCAAATTTCTACTTCAACCTACTACAGGCATGAAGTGATATTTTCCTTCATTTTCGTCAAAGCTAAATTAGGGAGAAAAGGATCAACTTAAAATATCTAAATTCATTTTAATACTTCTGAATTCCAATTTTTTTATCATTGAATTTTTTTAATGATAGCATTTTATTTATATTAGAAAAGATGACCATATCATAAAAGCTCAGCAATCAAACAACTGACCCAAGAATTTACTTAATTCTCTCTGTCATCCCTTCTCGTACAATTTACAAACATTTGAAATTCAGGGCAGAAATTTACCTATCCTCCAGGTTCCCACTTCCCTGGTGAATAAGTCAAGAACGAACCTAGCCCCACTCTGAGTTCCACTCGGAAGAGCACTAAGTGGCTTAGGGTGAGAGTTCCACGGCCATCTGGGGAACACATCTCACCTCCAAGAACTGATAATCATTCAAATGAGTGTAATAGTTTGATGGGGAGGTACGTTCGGAGGGATGGTGTGTCCTGGAGATGAGGATCTGGCAAGTGGAGAGAGATTAGTGGGGGCTGGACTGCAAAGGCAATGTGGAGGTGAGGGGATCCCAGAGGAATCCAGACCTAGGGGAATGGATGGTTGGTCTCCAGTGCACACAGGGACCTATAAAGGGATTCTTTCCCTATCGAACATATAAAAAAACCTGTAACAAGGTGGGAAGAGACCCTTTTTAGTAAAGTTGGCAGAGCAGAAGGAGGGCATTATGCCCATAACTGGGCACTTAAGGGCATCAATTAGCCTAAAAGTGGGTGTCTTGCCTAACACCTGTCCCGTGGCATGGAAAATTCTGGTTGGACCAGTGCTGACCACTTGACAAGGTACCCTGGCCGTCATGACTGATTATATGCCTCCCACCCCCATCCTTCCTGTGAGCCCTCTCTTATGGGAGTATAAAATTGTGTTCCCAAACTTAGCATCACCTTATCATTCCTAGTCTTACCTTTTTTCTATCATGGTGGTGCGCTGCACTTGGAGCCTTTACTACTTACCTTAGTTTCTTAATCTAAAAATTAATGTTCTATAAACTTATAAAGTTTGGGTGAATCATTATCATCCTCTGTATTTGCAAAAAAAAATTTCCATCAGTAAATTTTCTAAGATTCATTCTGCCCAATGTTGCAAAAAACTCAGATTATTCAAAGTCTTTCAAATGCTGCCCCAAAATGATTCTGAAAGTTGATGCAATGATTGAGTTTGACAAAGAAATGTGAATGAAGCAAAACAGCTAAAAATGAAATGCAACTCTGTTTTCCACAGTGCCCCAGAAACATGGAATTAAACAATACAGTTAAAAGTCAGAGCCCAATCCAAACACACGAGTCATCCAGTTCAGCTTTCCTGTTCACAGGGAGGCTCAAAGTTCAGTCTTCACATTCTTGAATTTCCTATGTGTGTGTGTGATCATTTCTTTTTATAAACTGCATAATGGGAGATACTTGAAATGCTTTAGGAAGATGGATATTCCCACGATCACATATTTAAACTGCATATAAATTGCAGCGATCCCCTAATGTACAATGTGACTTCTACAAGAAATGTGGAATGCTTGGATATTCATCTTGCTCTTCAGCTTAAAAATCATCATCATCTGTCTTATTTAGACAGTGTACAAGTTTGAAGTGGCTGTTTACACTGATGAGTGATTATGATTTGGGCTTTGGGCTCTAGCAATAACAACAGCACAATTTCTTTTCTTGTCCTTTCCCAGTATGATCACACCCCTCTTCCACTTTCCTCAATGCGTTAATTAATATTAGAAAATGATCCAAAGAAGGCCAACTGCCCTCTGTCCTTGCTAAAGCACCCACTCTTCATAGATCAGGCTGGATAGTGAAGACAATTTTAACCAGAAGCCTAATTCTACTGGGCGAGAAGTAAAGCATAGATTATTCCCCTGACCTGACCTGTGAGACATGATGCTTCGGCAGCATTAACCCTTCTCGGGTTTTGCATGCTGCTTACCAGTGCCCACTCAAAATGGATCAGAAGTGGCAGCTGGCTGATGGGCATGAGTGGACTTTCAGTCTACAGAAGGTTGACATAAAAGGAATGGTCTCCATCAAGAAGGTAAATCGTGTGGAGGAGATTTCATGAGTTTTCACAGGAGAAAAAGTGAAGGCAGACCTCAAAACCTCCTTGTGTTTTCTGGATGAGTACTCCTAATCCTTTTAGCCTCATGTAAATAAGCAGAAATGTTTCTGTTCAGGTCATTTTTTTTTGTACTCTTATCCTCCTGTTGCCTTCATGAGGAAACCTCTTCTGCCACAAGTTCAAATGATGTCATCGGGCCCTGGTCTTCATAGTCGTAGAAACCCAATGACTCAACTAACTTTGGATGGATGCCTTTCCTGCCTCCTCGGGGGAGGAGGTAACTTTCCCACTGGCAGGGCCAGTGTGGGCACCTGCTGCTAAGGCATCTGACTAATTTTAATTGCCCACTTACCCGGCTTCCATCAAGCAAGTGAAATTGAAATCGATCCTAGAGAATCAGCTAATCAACCATGTATTCAAACTTTATGATAACCTCACCCAATGTCCTCATACATGCAGATTTCATCAAATTGTGATCAGGAGAGGAAAACCTATTTGAGTTAAAAATCAAAAGAATTGTGGATACTGCAAATCAGAAACAAAAACAGAAATTGCTGGAAAAACTCAACAGGTCTGGCAGCATCTGTGGAGAGAAATTGGAGTTAATGTTTCAGTTCGAGTGACCCTTTCTCAGAATCTATTTGAATTGTTGCTCATGCGTTCCTTTTGCTACCTGTTCTGAGATCAGCATCGACAGGGGACTGAACCTGGGTGTCACTGAATGATTAAAAAAGTTAACAATGATAAGTGAACACTGTGACTTGCTTATATTCTGGGACTGATATCAGAATTACTTACTAACTGGTGTGTTATTAATGTCATATTAATTTTATTATTTCAAGTGCATAAGCTAAGCTAATAATATTGGAAGTTTAAAAAAAAATCACATGTCAGAAGGATCCCTTTTAAAATTAGGATATGAACTAGTAAAGCAGATTGCTGTACAGTTTTCACTAAAGGGTTACAGTAAAATGAGGCACAGCTAGATGAGGATGACCTTATTTAGTCAGTAAGGAGGAACAGCCCATGGATCAGAATAGGACTCCCGAGCTCAGTGGAAAGAAAAACTGTGTAACTCTCATCTGAGATCAAACAACAAGTCCAGTCAGATCATTATCAGGGGATTTATGCAGATTGCAAAAGCAAATACTGTACACAAATCATTCCTCCTGTTGGACATGGGAAGCAAGAAACATGTGCACTGAAGAATCGATTCAGCATCATGACTCCCCTGCAGAATAACGGAGTCCAGAGGAAACAAAAAGCAGAAAGTGGAAGCCGAATGTTTAAAACATCAGAGACAGAAAAGGTTGGTTTGAAAAGATAATTCCCAACCGCAGAGGTAAATCTTTAAAGAGCTCACATTTTAAAATGTTAGCTTTACTATAGAAATCAGAGTTTGTAGCATTATGAACAATTTTCTCTTCCTGTTGTTAGATTTTCTCATAGAAAGTACTTTATAGTATAAATAACATTAGTATAGTAAATTATAAATTCAAAAAAGACTGCTAGCCATCAGGAAAATATTCTCTTTTATAAGTAACAATCACTGGTAACTGAGATGGAGGGAACACTTTGTTTTTAATGTTTCTAACTGCACTTTTAAATTCATTCAATCCCTACAACTCAAAATATCGGATTACAATTTTGCAGATTTCCAGAGAGAGCAAATTGTAAAAGTTCATGTCTTATTGGCCGTATTTAGTATAATTAATCTATTAGTAATTACAGACTACCTTTGTTGCTGTGATTAACCAATTGATAATTAGCAAATTGCTAAAACACCTAAACCACTGGTAATTTGCTGGTTGCCTCCACTTGAGTGACTGAGCCACTTACAGACAACACAATTATTAACCCACTGATGTCTGATGGATGGTTTTGTTGATGTGACTGATCTATACAGAGTCTTTGTGAGTGTGATATCTCCGGTATATAACTTTGTCAAAGGTTTGCATAGTGCAGCAGTTCTGTCAAACTTCATTCTCATTCTGATGGAGTTTCTCTTAAGCCCATGGCCCCAGAATTTCTGCCAAACTCCTCCATTTTACTTGATCCAATAACACATACAGACATCCTCTGGGCCATTCCGTTTTTATGGAGGGATTTCCTGTGTTAATTGTTATTGCACATTCTCTGCTTCATTACCTTCAGGATACACCTGATAAACATTTTTACCATATGGTGTCAAGAAGAAACTTTGGTAAGGTTCTGTATTCAGAGATTCTTTGCAATATCACTGGAAACCTTTTGTGGAGAATGCTTCAGCATACAGTGGCCTGCCATTAGTGTCAGGGCCACTTGCTATTATGCAGGTCTGTCAGAAACTATATTTCATTATTACCCATAAATTGCAGCACTTCTTCAACTATGTTCACAATCTTAAACTGTACCATAATCTTAAATTTCAGTTTGCACTCTTACATTTGTATTAGCAATTTATGGGTTAATCTTCTCCAGAGGACGTAAGAACACAACCTGGTACAGTCCTATATTCTTGGAGGCTCTGCCTTTTGGAGGACACTCCTGCTGCTAATTCAGATGGACGTAAAAGTTGAATTGATTCCACTATTTATTGAAATGTGAAAGATTTATTCTAATCCTGACCTACAAGTATCGCTCAACCAACACCACAAGTAACAAACTTCTTGGTCATTAATCTCATTGCTTGTTGTGGGATCCTGTTGTGGACTAAGTACTGCATTCGCCTATATATAGTAACTTCAAAATAAGTCATTTATTGGGTGTAAAATACTTTATGGTGTTTGAGGGATAATAAAGGCACTTTATAAATGCAAGTTTTTCTCGTATTCATTTTTGTCACCCGGTGAACAGACAAACAACTTGTGGGATCTGTTGCTGGGCTTGATGTAAGTCATTATTCACCAATGCAGGGTGCTAAATGTTAACAGGGAAGGTTGCTCAAACCACCTATCAATATTTCAAACTCTAGTATACGCTGAACTGATTATCAAGTGCAATTCAACAGTTCATTTAAAAAGGCAAAATACTGCAGATGTTGGAAATCTGAAACAAAAACAAGAAGTGCTGGAGAAACTCCAGCAGGTCTGGCAGCATCTGTGGACAGTGAAATAGGATCAACGTCCTGAGTGCAGTATGACTCTTCAGAACTAGGATCAAACAGTTCATTTAAAATCTTTCAAAGCTAGTGGGAGTTGCTGAACTGTTTTTTAAAGGTTGAAACCATTGGTATATATTCTAGTTTGCTTGAGGTGTCTGTCTTTTATTAGTGACACCTTCCTTTTGGGGCAGAGGTGTTCCATAGAATTGTACTGATGACATTGGACCTTGTCTGCTCAAAAGAGGGTAGAATTTAAACAGTGAATTCAGGTTGCAATGCAGTTGGCACCAGTTTTAATTTCACAGAAGCAAAATATCATGATGCTTGAAATCTGAAATTGAAAACAAATTGGAAATATTTAGCAGGTCTGGCAGCATCTGTGGAGGGAAAGTATAGTTAACATTTCAAGTCTGTGGTGTTAACTCATTTGATTTTAACCTGTTTGACTTTAGCGCTATTTATTTCCAAATTGCAATATCAGTTTTACACACAATTTTGAACATAGAATTGATTTCTTCACTTTTGCAATGATTCGGGCATGAAGGAATTCAGAAAGAAAATGCTGTAATTTATCAAAGAGATACAGATGACATAAATACACAGTTTCAAACTTGTTGCAGCTAACTTCTATTCAGATGTGAACAAGGGAGTCTACGCATGATGTTTCTTATGAAGGGTGTTGTTGCACACAAATTCTGCTCTAGATTGTCATTGTGAGGTAGTTAGTTTATGGAAATTCTTAAATCCATAAGAACTCAAATCTCCATTTGACCTGTTAATCTCTATACCTTTCTTTCTGGGCCCCCAGACTTCAATTTCCAAGACCTTGGTGCTTTAATTTCAAATGGGGAGAAAATGAATTGTATTACTACCAGGATTTTAGCAAAGTGTGGCAGTAAGTGAGTGAGATCTTTGTACTAGGCTGATTCAAAAATGGGGAAAACGCCCAGCCATCCAGTTTGTTTATAGATTTTGTCCCTTTCAAGTTTGGAATGAGTCCATCAGAACATCTCAGCTATTTCTACTTAACTTTTTTTTTAATATTAGCTGAGGCATAGAATACAAAAGCAAGGACATTCTGCTGGAATGGTATGAGACACTAGTTAAACCTGACTAGTTAAGACTGAAGGACTGCATACAGTTCTGGTCTCGAGGAAGGATGTGATTGCATTAGAGAGAGTGCAGAGGAGATCTACCAGGATGCTGGCTGGGCTGGAAGGACTCAGCTATTAGGAGAGATTGGAGAGGCTGGAGTTGTTTTCCTTGGAATAGCAAAGGTTGAGAGGGGACGTGATAGGGGTGTATAAGATTGTGAGTGATATAGGTAGGTTGTTAGGAAGGCACTTTCTCCATTAGTAGGGTGATCAATAACCTGGAGGCAAAGATTTAAGGTATGAGGCAGAGGCTAAAAGGAGAGTTGAGAAGAATTGCTTTCACCCAGCGGTTGGTGGGAGTCCAGAACTCACCGCCTGAAAAAGTGGCTGCCAGAAACATTCGTAACTTTTAGTATTGTTTAGATACTCACTTGCATTGCCATAACTTCCAGGGCTATGATCCAAAAGCTGGAATATAGGATTGGTGTAGTCAGATCTTTGTTAACTGGTGTGGACATGGTGGGTCACATGGCCTCCTTCTGTGCTGTAAGTGAAGGCATTGGCAGCAGTGAGTGGGCCCAGCGCTGTTTCATGGCTGCTGTGGCGGAGGCGAGCGTATGTTTCCAGCAGTGTCTGCATCTAGCACAGATCTGGGGAGGAAGCGGCAGAGTTGAGTTTGGGCTAGTGCGGTATCCAGTGGTATTGGTGGCGCTTGCATCGGTGAGGTCCAGCAAGAAATAATAGCGGCGATGACATCGGTGGAGGCAGGATGGTGGCAGAGTGGTGACTTTCATTCTAATGGCAGTGGTGTGGCGAAGGGAACTCATGCTGGCCACCAGGCCCATGGCCCATGGCAGAGCACTTTATAAGCAGGACTCTAAAGTTGAACAGCTTTTTTTTACTTTTCTGCCTTTACATTCTATGTTTTGCTTTATTTTCTGTGTTTTGAGGTGGTGGCATAGAGTGGTGACACTGCACAACACTTATAGCAAACAAACAAATAAATAAATATTGCGCGGCCATATCCATAGACTGAATTAGGTAAAATAATTGTGGTATCTAGCCCAAGACAATCCTGTGCCTAGACCATGCTATGTTAACTGAGCTCAGCTATGGGAGTGGTAAAGACACTGGCATTAGCTTTAGCCCCTTGATTTGGAGAAGCATCATTGTCGAGTTTGAGGAAGTTTAATGATAAGATTAGGATTGCTAGCAGTACATCCTGTGGTTGAATGGCCTGTTATTTGCCTGGATTTACACATGAGAAAATACCATTTGGGCAAGGTTATGCACCTAGTAGCAATGGAATGATCCCTGTCAATATGTTATTGCTTGTATGGAAGAGGGACAGAGAATGAAAAACAGGTATAACTTGCATTTATATAGTACTTTTCATGTCTTCAGGACATTGTAACACGTTTCACAGCAACTGAATTACTTGAACTGTGGTCACTGTTGAATATAAAAAAACACATTAGTCAAATTGTGCATAATAAAGTTTCACAAATTGCAGTTAAGTTTCCACATAATATGTTTTTGTGATATGGGTTGAGGCATAAATGTTCATTAGCAAACCAGAAACATTCCACTGTTCTTCCTACAATACTAACATGTAATCTTCTGCTCCAAGCGGGAACAGGAAAACAAGACACTGGTTTAACTTTTGACTGGAAAAGTACAAAGAAGTAAATAAGTCATCCAGCTGTATTGGTCATAATATTATAGGCACTAGCTTAAGAATAACATTTCCTATACCACATTAGCACCGGTATGCAAAATACTAATAATGGCAGTACTCAGTCTTTTAGTATGTTAAGTTGTCTTGTATGAATTACTTTTAGAGGTCAGAGTTTGTTGTTATGCAGACAAATATAGCTATTGTCTAAAGCAAGATTACATAGCATTGGCTGGAATAACCATGGTTTGTTTTGCTGATATCAGTTAAAGGATGAATATTGGTTATGACACTGAAAGAATTCATTGTTCTTCCTCAAATAATGTTGCAATAAAAACTGGACAAGAAAATAAGCTTCAATTTGCACCTTATTCCCAAGATCATACATCAATCCTTAGTACTACACTGGGGTTTCGCTTTAATTTAAACTGGTGACAAAATTAATGAGCATTTTATAA